TCTGATTTAATTAATGCACATAGAGTCGATAAAAAACAAACCAATCAACTATTTTCTGTTTTCTTTTCTTGTCTTCGGTGTGTCCAGTGAGTACTTAATTCTCCAAGACTTTTTATTCCATGATGCTCCCCAAAACCTTTCATCTGTCTCTTTCTATTTCCTAGCAACAATTTTCTAGTTGATTCTATTCTCTTTCATTTCTCGCGCTCTCGTGTTCTCAATCAATGTTATATTATTCTAAACTTTCGTCAATAAAGGACTATTTATCTCACTTCAAGGTTTTTCTTCAAAATTGTTCAGCTTTCACTGTCATATTCGAAGGTAAAATCACATAGTTGTTTAACACTTTCAATCACAAAGACGAAAATACGATTTCATTTTCATCTTTTACCGAATTAATTTTGACAACAAACAATTTTTAAGTTGTACAAGAATGTCGTTTTCATTTGTATGGCTATTGTTGTGACACATTTAAAAAAAATCTGACCATCTGAACAAATATTTTATTTTATTTTTGGGTATTTTATTTTTGACGGACTTATTGCTCCAATTAGGAACCTTTCAATAATATTTGTATATGTACGAGAGATGATCTAAATAAAATAAAAATCAGTTTGCCAATTCATTTCATGTCAGTCGCTCTTTTGGCAGACTGCTAGCTGTAAAAAAGTAATAAAAATTATGGGTTATTGGTAGCAATTATTCCTCAGTTTGCCAATTCATTTCATGTCAGTCGCTCTTTTGGCAGACTGCTAGCTGTAAAAAAGTAATAAAAATTATGGGTTATTGGCAGCAATTATTCCTCAGTTTGCCAATTCATTTCATGTCAGTCGCTCTTTTGGCAGACTGCTAGCTGTAAAAAAGTAATAAAAATTATGGGTTATTGGCAGCAATTATTCCTCAGTTTGCCAATTCATTTCATGTCAGTCGCTCTTTTGGCAGACTGCTAGCTGTAAAAAGTAATAAAATTATGGGTTATTGGCAGCAATTATTCCTCAGTTTGCCAATTCATTTCATGTCAGTCGCTCTTTTGGCAGACTGCTAGCTGTAAAAAAGTAATAAAAATTATGGGTTATTGGCAGCAATTATTCCTCAGTTTGCCAATTCATTTCATGTCAGTCGCTCTTTTAGCAGACTGCTAGCTGTAAAAAAGTAATAAAAATTATGGGTTATTGGCAGCCAACCATCAACATCCATCTCTGATGCCATCGACCAAAACAATAAAATAGGAGGCGTTCCATCGTATGCATAATTCTCTTTAGAATAGCCGTCTAAAAGAAAGCTATTTTGATGTAAAACTCGAGGATTACCCGCTTCTGACCGTTCAAACCATTGGTGGTCCTACTTCAAGAAGGGAGTATGCCCAGATTTTTGCCTGGCCTTTAAGTTGATGCCTCCAACTTTTATACTCTGTAACGTAGAAATGTTGTTGATATATTTTAATAATTTTACATTTCCGAAAATATCCTTCAAATAACCATACCTGGTACCTTGACATTAAGAACTTAAGCGCAGTACTAGGTTGACAGCCAATCGTCGTCTTCTGTTTCCTTAATTCCTGTTCTTTTATTGACCTGTCTCGTTGATAGTGTCTTTTTTAAAAATTATTTCACACTCAGTGACCCCTTGTGTCTTTAATGGCTTTATGGCCTTGAGTGATTGGATTATAATAAATTCTCATACAACTGTTTTAGTAGTATTTTATTTTAATAAAGTGTTGTAACTAGGTACCCTAAAAAATCGATAAAAATGTGTATAGATGATGAAAAACCCCTAATAAAAACAGAGTTTTATCTTCAAAATATTTACGTTATTATTAAGATAAAAGACCAAAGGATTTAATATGGAAAATTTTAGCATCTTTGCTGTTAAAAACACATACATTTGAAATTTCTTGCAAAAATCAAACAATTGTCGGATTTTAGAACTTTCAGGACTTATTGACAAATGCATGAAATTGCTTTAGAAATGTTTATTTTAGAAAATCTTGGTATATATATATATATATATATATATATATATATATATATATATATATATATATATATTTATTTATTAAAGACATATTTTTATGTTTAACGTTGTTATTTTATAGACATAAAAATATGTCTTTAATAAATAAATTGTCGGACCTTGTCCATTTTTAATATATATATATATATATATATATATTACCACCAACTTGTTTAATTTTATGAAATTTTGAGAGCTTAATGTTATTAGTTATAAGCACAAGACCTTGGAGAATTTAAATCATCAATTTTTAATTTTTTGTAAAAAATGACCTCCAGTTACAGAAAAGCTTATATGAATCGTAAAATAAAACAAAGCCTTTATTTTATTAGAAAAGCTTTTAACTGATATTATGAATAAGATTATGGATACTTAAGAAAACATTTTTTCGATGAATAATGAAATTTGAAAGAATTGTTTTCATTTTTTAGAATATTAATTATAATAATTATTAATGTTAATATTGTTATATATTTTTAAAAATTCTATATAAATTTATAGCCGTTAAGTGATATTGTTATTAGGTAAAAATTATATTTACTAATCATAAATGGAAAAACATAGTAGCGGTCTCCAGTATTTAAAAAAAAAAGAATTTGGAATATTTATGTATCTGTGCCGATTTTTGTAAATACGGATATCCATACAAGACATTATTAGAAAATAAAAGCGGTAGCTATAGTAAATTTAATATTTATTGACAACATTTCCTCAGCAAGCGTCTTCGTAAGTAAGACTACAAAGTCAAAGTACTTAAAATTCAATAAAATATTAGATTATTTAGAATATTTTCATAATATTTAAGATTATGATTAGTTAAAAAAATATATATAAAAAAGCGTTCACGTTATATTCATCCAGTAATTGTTACGATGTGTCCTCTCTCCCCGTAGAAAAAAAATTCCCAAACATAAGTCTATCGAGAAATTTGTCAATGCTTAATAAAGCACCGATCTCCGTGTTAAAAAAATGTTTTCTGTGATATTTTAAAATAAAAGTAATATTTGTTTCAAATCAGATTAATTAAACTTTAAAACGATTAGGCTTCTTGAAATAAAATTTTCGAAAAGTATATTTTATTTTTGAAAGATTTTTTAATAATTTTTAAGAATTCATTTTAAAACATAGGTATCGCTTTTCTTTGGTGGTACCTATTTTTAAAAACAGTTTCTGAAAGGGGAAGTATAAAAATACAAAATAAAATTATCTTCACTTTCTTTGAGTTTTATCTACCATTCTACACACTTTGGATGGGCTTATTGATCAAACCGTGAACTTTTTAGTACGCCATTGTCAAGGTTGGTTGGTTAACGGCATATCAACACCTCTATGGGTTATTTAATGCCGAAATTTAAATATTTTGTACTCAATTGGACGCTTTGAATTACAGATAAAATTTATTCCTAGTAATTCTACTATAAAATGTATTGTTTGCCATTTTATATATATATATATATATATATATATATATATATATATATATATATATATATTTTTTGCTGTTTGAGGTTTCACTATTTGCCCATAGCTGGGACCCCTGACAGGTGCTAACACACCGGGTCAGGGTAAACCTGGGAACAACAGCAATTAAAATGTGGTTCCATGCTCCTTAAAACCGCCAATCTTCCGATCAGTGGCCTTGCTGCCGGATGTAGTTCATCGTCATACGCAGGACTCCACCGTCAAGAATATGTAGTTCCAGACAGAAAAAGGTTTCCAGTATCATAATTAATCACATGTTTTTTTTATTTATATATAAAATTAAATAAAAGAACACACCTCATTAATTCTTTTGCGCTTTCAACCAGACTGTATGAGATTAAAATAGCCTGTAATATTTTTGTCTGATAAAGAAACCAGAACATAATTTTTTTTTAATCAGTTAATTTAGATTTAAAGACTATAAATGCGGAAATTAAAAGAACTCAACATAAACAGTTTGTTGTTTGCTAAAATATTCTTTAGACGATGTTAATAAGATCAGCAAGATTTTACGTTTCGTTTCGTTTCGTTTGTTTTACGGCATATCAACATCAGTGGGCTATTTAATACCAACAAGATTTTTATTGCTGGTAATATTTTTCTAAAAATGAATTTCTGGCAAGATTTTTTTTCTTCAAAAATGTATCGCTGGTAATAATTTTTTAACTGTTATTAAAACCTATTTTTACACTTTCATTGTGTTTTGACCCCTTAAAGCTCCTTAAAGCCTCCTGATCAGAGACTTTGCTGTTGGACGTAGTTTATCGTCTTACCTAGGAAGCCAAGATTTTAGGGAAATGTATTTTCTTATCCTTGAACGCGCGGATCATCTCAATCTTCAAATAATTTATTATTAAGCAAACAATTGGATTTATGTGGACAGGTATCCGGATGCGCATGAGCAAGTTTCGGTCATTGGATGCCATTCATAAAATTGAAGAATTGAAGACGTTGCCTCACAAAAGGAAATAAAATACGTAACTGTGCGCTTGCGTGTGCGTGTGTACATTCATATATACATATGTATGTATATATACTTAGAGATATGTATCTGTGAGTGCATTTTAATGTATCACAATGTATCTGTTATATCAACCTTCCTGCAATGTAAACAGAACCTGCCTATGCTTCAATTCCTTTAAGAAAATCAATACCTGATCATCGGCCAGCATATTAGCTTTACAAAGAAAAATGACTTTATAGTCGATGAGTGAAAGGCCTTTGTGGTAAAGCCATAAAAGACATCTGACGACTGAAGAATAACTGAAAATTAAAGCGATAAACAGCATTAAAATTAAGGCGATCCTGTTTTATTTGTTGCACTTAAAGAAAAAGAAAGGGATTTTTTGAGTGTTTTTCAAAATTAATTATTCTGTTTACACGAGGAAATAATATAATGACATTATTTGTATTAAGAAATTATAATTTCGATCGAAAAAGAAAAATAATTATTCATTAAAGCTTTAGGAACTCTAAACAAAACAGGAAATTTGGACAGTCTTTTGTTAGAAGAGAATGAAAAAAGATATAGAGGAGTATGAAGAAAGGAAAAGCACTAAGAGCGTAGAGAGGAGTATGAAAAAGAAAAGAAAAGCACTAAGAGCGTAGAGAGGAGTATGAAAAAGAAAAGAAAAGCACTAAGAGCATAGAGAGGACGGGAGAAACAACTTTCTCACTCTACTAATGAAATTATAAGAAGCGTAACATCTTTTTTCTTTCCTTTCTTCTTTCTCTTCCTCTTTTCTTCTGTTAATCGCTTTCTTTACATCTTTCAGCCTCTTCTATTTAACATTAGTATAGATTTCTTTCATATACCATGTCCTTTCTAGGAGGGAATGATCATAATTCTTCACAACTTCCTGTCTTTTGTTTCTCTAATTAACACTTAACCTTTTACTATTTGTCTTTGTCCTTGTTCTGCCATCCATTTACACAAACATGTCATTCGCATTTTCAACCTTTTTCTTGCTTCCAATATGCCCTGCAAGTGTTAAATTCTCCAAGCTTTCTTTCCTCATTATGTCTCAAAATATTTCAGTAGTTTCTTTCTGATTGTAAGCATCATTTTTTATATATTTATCTTTTTCCTTAAAACTTTTAAACGCCTTCCTCTAATATTCTCAATATTCGTCGATAGAATGACATTTCTTCTCTTTTTAATTCTTTTCTTCATCAGTGATTTTCCAAAATTCATTGCCATATTGGAGATTAGATATTACACAGAGGTTCAGGAACCATTTTCTTTATTTTAAACGACATTGTCATATTCCTTAATACTTAAATTAGTCATGCATTTGTCGCTATTCATAAGCACCTTCGGATTTCTATGTCATATTTTATGTTGTCTTTTGCTATACTAAGCAGACAGTTAAATTTTTGCACCTGCTTGATTTTGACGCCCCAATAAGTAGTTTGCAACATCCTTATCGATTATGAAATCGATTTACATTATCAGCGTCTCTTTTATAATTTCATCTAATCTTACTGTTTTATACATCTTCATCTTGAACTGTCTTCATTAAAGAACCCTGCCGATGCATTCATTCTCTCTTTGTAGTATCTTTTCATTTCCATTATGACTGCCGCTATTTTACGCTTCACGCATCCTTTTTGTCTTGCTGCTCTTATCTCTTATGTATGTCTAGTATAAGAACTCTAAAAAATATGATGGCGCTATTTGTGTATGTATAAATTATAAAAATATTTTTTGAGTATAAATGAATTTATTGCAATAAAGCTGCTGTCAAACGAAAAATTTCAGACGATTCTTCATATTGTTTTCTTTGAATGATTTTAAGTAATATGGTAATAATAAATTAGCAACAACAGTAGTAGTAGTAGTAGAAGCAATTTGAATATTAATACTTGCCTATCTCCAGCGAACACACAAACATAGTAGAGTTTGTTTTGTGTTTGTGTGATCGCTGTAATTCCGTCTTCTCTTTTTGTTATCAGAACTTCAACAGCTTAAAATCTGACAGAAAGATGAATTATGTGCGGGTTGATTTAAAAATCTGAAGAAAAATAAGCTACTTCTTCCAATTTGAAATACGCATCATGTCATCCACGATTTTTAAACCTCTTCGAATTTGGTTGGTGGTTTGGTTGTTTCCGATTTGTTCTTTTTTGGAAGCAATCTCGTCGTCTAAATGATTAGCCATATAATTATGATTTATGTTACATCGCTTTTCATATAAATCAATCGTTTTCAAACCAATGGTCAAGATCCAAATGTAAGTCGCATGGATGCTTATGTGAGCCGTCGAATGGTTAGAAAAGTAATAAGAAAAACAAGAAAAATATTAAAATAAACAAAAAATATTCCAAATATAAAATGTCATTACGAATATTTCAGCATAGAATAGAGCAACAAAAGGGAAGAAGAAGAAGAAGAAGAAGAAGAAGAAGAAGAAGAAGAAGAAGAAGAAGAAGGCGGCGGCGGCGGCGGCGGCGGCGGCTGGAACCTGACACAAGAATATAATTTCTTAATTTTGGTGTTAATTCTGGTGTTGCTACTTTGGGTGACTAACCTGCTGTAACACCCATGTAAGCCTCTCATTTTGAGCCTCTCATTTACTTTGACTGACAGAGGGTCCAGTGATCAAATGTCAACAAAATTCATTGGTCAAAACTAAATAAAGGAACGCTAAAATTATGTTTCCGTCATGAGTGTCGCCAGCCCCCAAAAAGTTGTGTTTTCAGGATCAGGAAAAAAGTTCCCGGAACTGATATAAATAGCTCGATTCTAAAAGTAGGTTAGCAGAGATAACTTCTGTAACTTCCTAGAAAACAGGAAGTGTGACTGACTGATGATACTTATTTTCCAGAAAGTGGTCAGGAATTGTAGAAGGCAAAAGATTAATTTTCACCTTACTCTCCGAATGTTGGGTGGGTGTGACCAAGTCTTGATTTCTTTAGTATGAAATCAAAACGTTCTTTTGTTTCCACTTTCCTTTTTTATTGCTATAATCTTTACAGCTGCTGATTTATCAATAAATAAACAAAAACGTGCTTGATTTCAGGAAAAGGATGTTCGTTTTTTTCTACATGGATTTATATGAACCTTTTGTCCTCATCTTGATTATTAAAGTCGCAGTACGTTAATCACTGCAACTTTCGGCCTTAAACAGATTTTGTATTTGGTAATTTAGCAATTATAGAAATTCAGACGGAAGAAATTCAGTATTTCAGGGTTCAAACGAATTTTAATAATTTTTAATAATTTATCTTTACGATGACATTAACATTAACGATATTGATTTCATATTCAACTTTTCATACCCGAATTTGAACATCGATTTCTTTTACTGCTATCATTTTTGAAACAATGAATCGCCATCTTGTTAAATACATTGTTTAAAAAGCGATTAGATTTTGAGTTTTGTCATCTTTTACAGTCTTCTGCTCTTTGTTTTCCCTTGTCCCAACGTTTCAATCAAATCTATCTCTTCCTTACACATAGATGCTACATATTGTAATAAATACATTTATATATATTAATTAATTAATATATATATATATATATATATATATATATATATATATATCCAATATAAAATATATATATATCCAATCTCTCTCTCATAAGATGACTTTTGTACATGGTGTTTTTTGCTCTTGATTGATGGCTCTGAAAACTCATTATTTTGAACCGACACTGACTTGCCTTAAAAAGGGCGTGACATCCCAAAACCTGTGTTCGGCATAAAGAATGACCACCAAAAGGTAACAAAGCATTTCAGGGATGACGGTAGCAGATTGTCAACCATCCTAAAGATCGTTCCAACACAAAACCTCGCATAATGTTTGAAGATCACGAAGTAGACTGACTCAGTATGCTAGGTTTTTCCACAAACCTAGTATGAGCGTTCGTTGTACAGTCATTTCCAGCGAATGGTACAATCGCTTCTCATGCAGTTCATGAAAATTCGTGAACGAAATTTATTTCCATAATAAAATCAAGCGTTTTAATTTAGCAATTTTGAATAAATCAGTCTGATGAAAAATCTCAGGCGAAGATTTTGAGTGACATTTCAATAGAAAGAATACACTGTATTATAGCCAAACTCAGTTTTAACGTTGCGTCCAAATATTAATTACACCATTAAGACTTTTCATACAACGAGTAAAGCATTGTTCCTTCAAAGGTCATTAGTGATTGTATATTAACAACAATTCATTATTTTCTTTAGAACATAAAGTGTTTGTTGGCTCTTCAAAAACAAATACGCCCCTGGCTTGCAATTCGAATTGAAAATAATCTTTTTCAGGTTGAATTTAATTCAAGGCGCACAACGAGAATTCGAAGTTTTCTCTGAAATAAATTTAAAAATATTTGTTTCTTAGGAAACCAAGCGATGTTTAATGTTTAAAATTACCGCAATAGTCCATACTTTTTGGGTTAAATCATGACTTACATAATTGAATATGAAACATAAAACCATAACGTTTCTTAATAATATATATTGTTGCGATTGGTACATTCTCATCCAGACGACAGCTGCTTTCTCACTTTTCGAATGACTTGCAATGCCTTCCGTATCGTTTTGGCGTCCATGGCCTATAAGATGACCCTTGAGACTAGCATTCGATTTTATAGGTATCATGCATATATGCATGTATCCTTGATTAGATCTGCATGCCCTACAACTCTGCTGTGTATTACCATGTACCTTTTCAGGGCAGAGAAAACTTGTTGCAAACATCAGAAGTATTGTTGGACGGACGATGAGACGCGAGTTGGTATAGTGTGCGTGTTTATGGTTATTATGATGACCTTCAGATGGTTTACATAACCTACCCTCGACAGCAACATGCGCTCACACACACCATATTTCCATAACTGGACACATTCATAGTACTACGTGCGCATACACAAGCATTTACTGACACATACACACACACACACATACATATATGTGGGTATGTGTGTGTGTGTTCTCGCTCGTGCATTTGCCGACAAACTGACATCCGGGTTCTAAACCTATCGGAAATTGTGATCGTTTTTGCAGCGTCTTAGCTTTTATGTTTTAAGTTTTGATATTGTTTTTTGCTAAACCAATATTTAAAGAGGCTTTGCGTGGCATAAAATGATTTACTGTCGTGTTTTCCTTCATTTCCTTATTGTTCTTGTGACTTGTGACAATCGTTCTTTTTGCTTTTCTTATATTATTTCATATATAGTAAGCAAATTCAAATTTTGCCAACTTCTCTCACCAGACATGACTCGTATAGCGATAAAGATCTATTAGGAATGATTTTTATTAATTAAAATTTGAAAAAAATATTGCAATCATTTAAGTATCTTTAAAGCTTTAATTTTCGCATTAATTTCAAGAAAATAGCGGAATTCGTTAAAAAAAATGAAAAATGAATTTGCTCATATGAAATAATTTTAACCTGCTTTTCTTATTTTTTTTTTAAATTCCAGATTAACCTTGTATATTACGCGGCTATACCATATTGATGATATATCAACACCCGTCAAAGGAAATTTAATTAAAAATCTAACAAAAAAGTAGCCTACCAAATAAAAATTTCGATGAAAAATAGTAACTAGGATTTTGACAAAATATTACTTACCTTTTACTTAAAATCTCTTGCAAAATATATTTGCTAACATAAATTTGGTGTCTGTAAACGGCTCAGGGTCAAAAGTTTATGCTTACATCACCTGGCCGGATGCGAGGGCAGCGTAACTGTTATCAGAGTGGAGGATGGAATCGACAGGCTGTTTTCAAGTTCCAGCCTCGTGAAAGCATAAATTTATTTCTTCTCCTTCCTACAGAGGTAGGGGTTGGGGCCGCAGGGAGACAAGGTAGTGTCTTTAGTCTTGGGTGGAAATGAATCTAGAACAACTCTGAACGCAAAACCGTGAAGAACACAGCGGGAAACCATGTCACTAACTTTCCTTAGACGTCATGGCAATTACAAATTATAAAGAAAATGAATCTGTGGCGAGTATTGCCTTAAAAACAATCTGATTGGCAATGTACGGAAGACAAAAATAACAAATATGAAAACTGCGTTCGAGGTGTCAGCATTAGATAATAAACAAATTCATCAACTAAAAATACATACTTATCGAAAAAAGAAAGAAAGGGTAATTATAACCCATTTACCCCTCGTATTATTTCGCTGACTGAAAATTCTTGGAGTCAGTGGAAATGAAGACAAGGTCGTCTGTCAACACAAATTGCTGACATGTTAAATAACTGTCCAAAAAAATGCATTTTTTTCCTTGAAAGCATAAAGTAAGACATTTTTTTCTTAGTTTATTTTTGGTCTATCATTAAATTAAATTATTTTTCACGAAAGCCTCTTCAGTGAAAAGATCGTTGACGATTATTTTATTTTTGTTGATTTTAATCCCATAATGTGTTGTGTATGAAAAGTGGCTTCCATATTTGCTGATTCTGCAAGACTTAATTAACAATTGCCAACAAGTGCAAATTTCAGTCGGTTAATTTTAGAAAATGATTAAATTGATTTAAATTCTTCAGGTATTCACTGTTTTACAATATAAACACTTTTAGGTTAGGATTGAGTAAAAGTAAAGAAATATTCCACTCTTTGTTTTTGCAAAATAACCATTTCACAAATTTCTTCAGTAATCAAGAAATAAATAGCAAAAGCTTTCATTCGGAAAGAGTTTTCCAATTCGAGAAGCAATTATTTGGCAATGAACTTGTCAACTGGTTTACAGGGCCGTGGCATACCTCCCCTCAAAATTTTTACCAATTGTAGCATTTTTACAGGGCGTTATTTTAACAAAATACAATGAAAAATGGCAATTTCTCTTTATTGTGTGGGTGCGTTTTCATTTTAATTTGAAATTGTGAGGAGTCAAATAAATCAAAATATTAAAATAAAAATGTACAAACAAATAGAAAGGAAGTCAAATTAAAACAAAGCATTTGCTTTCCCTTAAAATCCTTACTTATTTTTCTTTCACTCTCTTTCTTTCTATATATTTATTTCTCAAATAAAAAGAGGAAGAAGTCGAAAAAGATAAACCCGGATATTGATTGTCTAGCAGGTAATAATTTTTGATCCACGTATAAGTTACGTTATATAAAATAAAATAAGAAAGGAGACCGAGAAAGAATTTCGGCCAATCAAATAATTTAACGAAAAGAGATTTTCCTCATCAAAAAAGATATAAACTAACTCCCGCAGGTAGACAGCGAGAGGAGATATTAAGGATTGCACCGTTATGGAAATATTGCAACTGTCAAAGTAAACGAGTTCTAAACGTGATCTCGTCTGAGGCCGCCATGAAAGAAAGTCAAAAATGCTGTTAAAGATTCTCACAAGTAATATTATCTCGACACTCACTGCCACAATAAATCAGTTGGAGTAACAAATCAGGAAGCGAAGTTTCACCAGCTGTTTTTACTAAGAAACGAAGATGACGAAATGCTAAGCAATTGGTTGAGTCGAAGAACAGAGAAATCTACCAGTCCAGAAATTCAAAATGAGATGACTGATGTAATAGAACTTGGAATTCTTCATAATATCTCGAGACAAATACAATCAGCCAAACATTTTATGCTTATAGCCTATGAAACAGTAGACATCGAATCAGAAGCAAGTAGTGATGTGCATAAGATAGATTGACGAGGATACCTTGATGGCGCTTGAAAAGAATGTGTTGCCATGAAACCCGTGGAGGGTTGTAGTGATGATATGTTTGTTAAAGTGATAAAGGACATGCTTACTCAAATGAAAGTAAAATTGGAAAATGCAAGAGGACAATGTTATGATGGTGCTGCAGTAAAACCAAAATCAAACACAAATCCATTAACTTAAAGTGTTTGTACACCCATTGCTATGGCCATGCACTCAATCTCTTCATCAAAGATGCCTGTACAAGAGATCAATGTTTGAAAGACAGTTTTGATACTGTAAAGGAGGTTTGTAAGTTGAGAAAATTGAGACTCTCTCACCGCTCTCTCTCTCTCTCTCTCTCTTACATCATTTCCAATCATAATTAGTTGATGGCATTATGGAAGCAATCTCTTTTGGTCACAAAAGACATCGAGATGAAAGGCAGAATCATTGGTGCGAAGATGAATATGAGAAAATTTTCATTTCTTTTCGAGTGTCTACTTGGCGAGAAAATATTAATGTAGACATCATAATCTTAGACGATTCAATCTCCTGAGCATTCAGTAGTTGAAGCTCACTAGTTTATAGCTCACTGGTTTATAGCTCACTAGTTAGGCGAAGTAGTGATACAAACTTTGTAGCAAGAAAGAAATGGTACATCATTGAATTTGTTTGCGAATACGTTTCTAAAAAGAGAGAAGAACTTGACATCATTGATGTGGAACTTTTAAGAAAACGGAAAAAAACAAAACGACTGACTGATTGCTTTCGCTATGTGCAAGCAAATGATCAACACTTTCCCTCCGTAAAAGAAATGTACAGAACGATTTTGTCACAACATCTGTTACTGGCAGGTTTCACCAATCTGACATGATAGAATATAGAACAATGTAAAAATTTCTTTGCTTGATGAAGATCCAAATAACGAGATACATAAGAAATGAATTGGGCACCTCGAGGTGGTGTAATGGTTAACAAGTTTGTCTCGTGAGAACAATTACGACTGGATGCCCCTATCACTGGATGCCCCTATCACTGGATGCCCCTTACTTTCGGTCCATGTGCCACATCCAAGCTACGCTTGGAAAATCGCTACATAAGAAATGAATTAAAAACAATTCTCTTGTTTCAATGCATAAGAGGGGGGTGTATTGACATGCTGAATATCCAGCCCAAAGTTTTTACCCAATTTATTGAAGATTGATAGAGTAAATGCAAATCTTCCAACACTTATTTGAAAATGCTAAGGGTAGCTTAATGAAATCTTAAAACTCATCAAACTCATTCTCTTAGCATCTCTTCTACAAATGTTGAAAGTGAAAGAATTTCTTCAGAGCTTAAAAGAGTTAAAACATATTTACGATCAACTCTGGGTGAAAAGCGATTTTGTGGTTTCATGCTAATACATCTACACAAAGACGAGATGGATTCAATCAACGTAATAGAAACTGTAGACTCGTTTTCCGAAGTCTTCTATTTGGGAAATTTTCAGGACATGATCTTCCCAAAAGCACTAAAACACGCAATATTGGAATACAGACAGGACAAAAGTTTAAAATATTCTTGTTGTAGTTGCTTTATTATTTTCAAACACAAATAAAAACGAACTAAGTAAAAAAAAAAATTCTTTCCGCTATGTTGGCGGCCTTTGATAATTTAAGGCTAAATTCTAAATTTATTTTGCCCCCACCTAAAAAAAAGATAAACATTTGTCTCTGCTACGACACTGTTTTATTATGTGTAATTTTCGATAAAGATAAACTAAAGTTAAAAGTACATTTAAAAAATTCCATTTCTCTATGAAATAAGGAAAACATTTTCATTAACATTTTCGTCAATTCCTCTTCTGATGATATAAATTTAATGAAAATCAATTAACTCTTTCTAGGTTAGTTATTTGTCAGATGGTGTCAAATTTGTAACAAGTCTGTGAACTTTGCAAATGTTCACATAAATGCACAATTAAGAAAATACTCTCATTAGTATAAAGACACTCTTTCCAAACAATGCCTATCAAAATTTTCAGATGTTCCTTAAATTAGTCATCAAGTAATTAGCATCATAACTTTTATTATCTTTCATTTTCTGCCTCTCGGCGTCTTTCATGTTTGTCTTAACATCAACCTCAGTTCACTTATTGTAAGCTATCGCTCTTTTTTTCCATTGAAACCTAGTCTTCTTTCTCAATATGAATCACCGAGAATAAATATTTTCATGTCTTCAAATTGTTTAGTGTAGTATTTCAATGTTCTCATTTGTGTCATACATCGATAATTAATATATTTAGTTTGTATTCTCGGCATTTTCCTTCCAGTTTAAAATCATTACAAATTTCTCCAAGTCATTTTAAAATGTTTGATTTTATCATCGTTTTATTTCATATATTTTGGCCCTTTTCTATTCGAACGACACAAAATCATTGCTTCCCTTCATAATATTAATGCCTCAACTGAATGATACTAAAGAATAGTTTGATTAATTTGCTAGCTTCTAAAAAACAGCGTTAATTCTCATCAACGTAGATGTATGCCACAAACCCTAGGAATGATATATTGTTAGTGCAGGTAAACATATTAAATCAAGGTGTTTCATTTATTAAACTGGATTTTTATATATTATCGGGCTTTGTTTATCGGAAACCATTCACCTATTTATTTGTTGTTTCAATTTAATTTAATCAATACTTAGGTTGATAATATCCTATGAGAGAAAAATGTAATTTGAATAAATTGAAGTCTTTTACAATATTGGTGATGCAAATAAAGAAAAGGTCGATGAATATGCAATTTATTGAACGATTTAAATCTTGCGTGCATAGACAGACGTGTTTGAACGATTTAACCTCAATTCAACTAATCAATTTTTTTCCACGCGGCATTCACATATGAATTATTATTAAATAATATGAAAATCAGAAATTTATAAATTGTGTGAAATCATTTTCTTTTTTTCTGAATTTGGACATCGATGACGTTTAAAAAAAAAAAAAACAAAGCAAGAAAATCTGAAACTTTGTGCTTAATGAAAATATCCGGTCATGGAATATCTCTTGTCTCATTAGAAATATTGAAAAAATAAAATTTAAACCAGAGCTCCACAAAATTTTGCTAGCTATCGTCACCTTTGGTTACCAGGTGGCATCTTTAACGACTCCTTCAATACCTATATCAAGACAATTCATTCTTGGTATTAGGGGTGCGGCTAATGTAACAGGGACACGGAAAGTGAAATCTTTACATTCACTTGCACACAAATATTTTTGGTAACGTTATAAATCCTTTACCCCAGCACCTGCTATGGGTTAAACAGTAAAGTTTGATTGGCAGCTAGTCTAGAAGGAAAATTTTAAATTCAAAACCGAGGTGCATAATATAGAGCTATTGAAAAGATTACAGAGTTCCCAGTTATCTATGGCATAGGTTTGTGGACTCGATGATCTCGAGTGAGGTCGGTTAAAAACAATATATGTTTACACTGTTAGATTAATTGTTTGCATTTGTTGATTCAAAACAACTAATCTAACATTTTAAACACGCACATACCTTTTAGGCTTTTCTTAGATGCTATTGGATAAGTTGTCACCCGACGAACATCCATGGCTATATCGCTACACCTACCACCTACCAACTTAGAGCGTCGGCTGTCTAATTTGGCTAGTATGTTGTGCATCCTATCCAGATAAATCTAGCAAGATACGATCGGACATTTTACTTAGGAAAACATAATAAAATATAACACCGTGTGAAACTCTTTTGCTAATCTTCTTTGTCAAGAATATGCGTTCCTTTAGTGTAAGAGAATTGGGTTTTGTTCTATAGATTTTGTATAAAAAATGATTTGCTTCTAATATCACTTTGCTGATCCTACCACACCTCTTCTCTAACCGCCTCTTTTTTCATCACCCCACCCTAGATTTTTCCATCGACCAGTTGGGCAGTACCGCCCATTTTGGGAATCCCTAATTCATACAAATTAACACAACAATTGCTCTTTAGTAAAAGGCTATGTTTCGAATCCTGGCTGTAATACACCCTTATAAAATTAGTACATTAATATCTCCTTCTAATACAAATGCATCTACATAGCATTCTCTCATGGCTATGCACTTTCCTACTCACGAAGTTGGCATGAATCAGTGGCATGGAATTTTCATTTACAAAATATGAAGACCACATTTTTGCTCGATTAAAGGTTTGAAGAATCGCTTAGCAGCAGACAAGCCTTTATGGAAAACCTTTAAATAGCCCGCAAGATTACACCCAGACAAGCTGTCAATTTATATCTGATTAAGATTAGTGTGTTTCAACAACAGATTCTTGGTTCAGTGGAGATTTAGAAATGGACATGCGTAATGATTACGTGCAACGTATGTAATTTTCTGACAATTTCTTATTCTACTGAATATATGATTCAAGAATCTCGCCTTAAATCAAACAACTTAAAATAAAGATTATCTATCTATCTTAAATGTGTGTGTGTAAATTATTTTCAGATAAATTGTGTCAGTAGAGAAACAAAATGAATAAAAAGAGACAAGAAGTAAAAATATTCTAAGCCGATGCATTTCCTCCTTTAAAATAATCTTGAATATTACTCGCTTGTTCCTTGCTAGATATTCAATTATGGCACTTGATTAACATCCATGAATGTTCTCAGATTTAAAAGCCTTGATAAATCAATGACAGCCTTGCTTTTGCATATAAACACGTGCAACAATATAAATCCTACATTGCCTTGATGAACTCCCTCGAAACGCGTCGGCTAAGAATAGTTTTTCCTCCTGTCTCTTATTTATATATATATATATATATATATATATATATATATATATATATATATATATATAGAGAGAGAGAGAGAGAGAGAGAAGAGAGAGAGAGAGATAAATTGAAGACACACGGTGATTAAAAATAAAACATATCTCCTCCTGAGTAAATTCCAATCATTCTTCATCAATTTTTAAAAATGTAATTTCACTTGTTTTATTCCCCCACCCTTATACACTTTACGTGTAACGAAATCGCACATTCGCGAGTTGGTATTTATTTAACTTTTCTCCATCCATAGCAAAATGTGGTTGTAAATGATAAGGTCAGGTATTTTAATCCGAGAAAGAAATTTAATGTCAAGAATAAAAAATAATTCGGTCGTCAGTGGTGCTGGAGGGATATATAGGGCAAGTCATATGAAATATTTTTTATTCGTTGAATAATAAAACATAATTGCATGGAGAGTGACGAACAGGCCTAGAAAAGTTACAAACATAGCAATAAACAGAATGGCATAATAGTTAGCCAGTTAATCTGGTCGACCATCAATACTCAGGGGTGAATTAAATCTTCACTGGATGCCACATATTTAAGTTGTTTATTTAAGTTCTTTTATTTAATGTGAAATTCCAGAATTATATATTCGATTACAGATGAAACTATCAAAACATTGCATAGATCATAAGTAATGATTATATGTGAGTGGGTTTCTAGCTCTATACTGAAACTCTGTCTTACATCTAAGAGAAGAGTACAGAGCAAAACTAAAACCAAAATAGAGATTCTGATGTGAGGAGTAGTAGTCTAATAGGAAAATAGAGTTCCTGTTTTGGGTGTGGAATGCTGATGCAAAACCAAAGCTTGACAGGACTCATTTGACGAAACACAGGAAGCTTCATCCGGTCCGAACACCAGTAACACTGAAAAATCGATGGCTTTTTCTAGATTCGGTGTGTATGGAGAGTGGGGTGGGGCACTGTAATTTTGGGGGAAGCGATCCATATGTTTGAATTTGATAACAGACGAGAATTATTCCAGCCTGTAAGTATCGTGCCTCTTTCAAAATGGCGGACTCAGTAGGTCCTGTTCGGTTTTCTCACACACTTGTAAGAGTGGCGCGTGATTCAAAGCCACACTGGTCGGAGCGATAACGTCTCTGTGATGCCCTTAGATGCATGTCACAGTTGAGGAAACGTGGATTACAATGTCTTTACGAGAGCAAGGATTATCATTTGAGAGCAAAGATTACTCGAACAGTTAATTCTTCAGAGTTGCCTTATTAAAGATTATCTTTCTGCTCACTCTTTTGATTTGATTACCAATCAGAGAACTTTAAAATGTCTCTATGAATTTCTGTTTAAATAGAAGACGAATATTTTCTGCATGGGTTTATCAACCTTGTCGTCTGCAAATATTTTTGTTTTTTGTGTTCCCAGATTCATTTATTTTGTATGAATGACCTTGGATTTTGTCATTGATCTACTATATTTCGAAGCTCATTATATGTACGTGAAGTTGGGCAAGTTTCTCTCAGTGTCATCCAAAATGATGATTTTCTTCAAATGGGATCAAAGAAATCATTAATAGACTTTCTTATTTCTGTATAAAATAAATACATTTGTCATCATAAAGTGTTTATTTTATAGAGAAATATTTATTTTCTTTCCTTGTCAATGTTCTTAACTAGGTAGCTCCATGGAAACGCTAAAAAAATGAACATATCGTGATGAAAACTTATGCTCCAAACGTAATAAAAACATAATTTTATCGTCAATATCATTATGCTATTATTAAAAGGAAGGAACAAAGTATTTTTTGATTATATAATTAAATTTTTAACTCTTTGTTACTCTTTTTTTTGTAGCGGAGAGCGAATAAATTTGGCGTGCTGAGTATCTTTTGTACGATAGGGTGCATAAATTTGGCGTGCTCAGTAACTTTTGTAGGGGAGGGTGCATGAATTTGGTGTGCTCATTATCTTTTGTATGTGAGTGCGCATAAACTTGGCGTGCTGAGTATCTTTTGTAGGAGAGGGCGCATAAATTTGGCGTGCTCATTAACTTTTGTAGAGGAGTGAGCATGACTTTGGTGTGCTCAGTAGCTTTTGTGCAAGAGGGCGCATAAATTTGGTGTGCTGAGTATCTTCTGTATGTGAGTGCGAATAAATTTGGCGTGCTGAATATCTTTTTTAGGGAAAGGCGCATAAATTTGGCGTGCTGAGTATCTTTTGTAGGAGAGGGCGCATAAATTTGGTGTGCTCTTTATTTTTTATAGGGGAGGGCGCATGAATATGGCGTGCTGAGTATCTTTTGTAGGGGAGGTCACATAAAATTGGCGCGCTCAATAAGTTTTGTAGGGAAAGGCGCATAAATTTGGCGTTCTCAGTATCTTTTGTAGGAGAGGGGTCATAACTTTGGCGTACTCAGTAACCTTTGTATATGAGTGCGCATAAATTTGGCGTACTCAGTATGTTTTGTAGGGCAGATGCATAAATTTGGCGTGCTGAGTATCTTTTGTAGTGCATGAAGCATAAATTTGGTGTACTCTTTATTTTTTTGTAGGAGAGGGAGCATAAATTCAGGGTGCTCTTTATTTTTTTGTAGGAGAGGTCGCATAAAATTGGTGTGCTCAGTCTCTTTTGTAGGGCAGAAGCATAAATTTGGCGAGATGCAGAATAAATTTAGTGTGCTCAGTATCTTTTGTCTCGGACGGCGCATAAAATTGGTGTGCTCAGTATATTTTATAGGAGAGGGCGCATAAATTTGGTGCGCTCAGTAAATTTTGTAGGGGAGGACGCATAAATTTGGCCTGCTCAGCATTTTCGTAAGAGAGGGCACATAAATTTCACCTGCTCAGTAGCTTTTGTAGGGGAGGCGCATAAATTTGTCGGGATCAATATCTTTTGTACGAGAGGGCGCTTAAATTTGGCGTGCTTAGTATCTTTTGTAGGGGATAGCGCAAAACATTTGCGCGTTCAGTAAATTGTGGGGGAGGGTGCATGAATTTGGCATGCTCAGTATCATTTGTAGGAGATGACGCATGAATTAGGCATGTTCAATATCTTTTGTAGGGGAGGCGCATAAATTTGGCGTTCTCAGTAACTTTTTTAGGGGAGGACGCATGAAATTGTATTATTATCAAATCACCTTCTGTAGGAGAGGAACCATAAATTTGGTGTGCTCTTTATTTTTTTTTTGTAAGGAAGGCCATAAATTCAGCGAGCTCTTTATCTTTTGTAGGGGAGGACGCATAGATTTGGCGTGCTCAGTAACTTTTGTAGGGGAGGCGTATAAATTTCGCATGCTCTGCAGCTTTGGTAGGGGAGGGCGCATAAATTAATCGTGCACAATATCTATGTGAGGGTGGAAAATTTGGCGTGTCAAGGATCTTTTGTAGGGAAAGCGTATAAATTTGACGTGCTCAATATCTTTTGTCGGTGAAGACGCATAAATATGGCGTACTCAATATATTTTATAGGGCAGAAGCATAAATTTGGCGTTCTCAGTAACATGTGTAGGGGAGGCGTATAGATTTGTCGTTAGTATATTTTGTAGGGGATGCGTACAAATTGAGCGTGCTCAATATCTTTTACAGGGGAGAGCGCATAAATTTGGCGTTCTCAATATCTTTTGTAGGGGAGGCGTATAAATTCGGCGTTCTCACTATTTTTTTTATAGGGAAGGCGTATAAATTTGGCGTGCTCAATATATTTTGTCGCGGAAGAGAATAAATTTGCCGTACTCAAAAACATTTGTAGGGGAGGCGTATACATTTGGCGTTGTCACTATCTTTTGTAGAGAAGGCGTATAAATTTAGTGTGCTCAATATCATTTGTAGGGGAGGCGTATAAATTTCGATCTCACTATTTTATGTAGAGAAGGCGTATACATTTAGCGTGCTCAATATATTTTGTAGTAGAGGCGTATAAATTTGGCGTACTCAATAACATTTTTAGAGAAGGCGTATAAATTTGGCGTGCTCCATATATTTTGTAGGAGAGGCGTATAAAATTGGCGTACTCAGTAACATTTGAGGTGAGGCGTATAAATTTGGCGTTCTCACTATCTTTTTTAGAGAAGGTGTATAAATTTGGCGTGCACAATATATTTTGTAGGAGAGGCGTATAGATTTGGCATACTCAATAACATTTGTAGGGGAGTCGTATACATTTGGCGTTCTCACTATCTTTTGTAGATAAGGCGTATAAATTTGGCGTGCTCAATATATATTGTAGGGGAGGCGTATAAATTTGGCGTACTCATTAATACTTGTAGGGGAGGCGTATAAATTTAGCGTACTCAATAACATTTGTAAGGAAAGCGTATGAATTTCGCGTGCTCAATATATTTTGCAGGGAAAGCGTATGACTTTGGCGTGCTCAATATATTTTGTAGGAGATGCGTATAAATTTGGCGTACTCAATAACATTTGTAGGGTAGGCGTATAAATTTGGCGTTCTCACTCTCTTTTGTAGAGAAGGCGTATAAATTTGGCGTTCTCATTATCTTTTGTAGAAAAGGCGTATAAATTTAGCGTAATAAATAACTTTCGTAGGGTAGGTGTATAAATTTGGCGTTCTCACTATTTTTTGTAGAAGGCGTATAAATTTGGCGTGCTCAATATATTTTGTAGGAGCGGCGTATAAATTTCGCGTACTCAATAGCTTTTGTAGGGGATGCGTATAAATTTGGCCTTCTCACTATCTTTTGTAGAGAAGGCGTATAAATTTGGCGTGTTCAATATCTTTTGTAGGGGAGGCGTAAAAATTTGGCTTGCTCAATAACATTTTAGGGGAGGCGTATAAATTTGGCGTTCTAACTTCCTTTTGTAGAGAGGGCGTATAAATTTGGCGTACTCAATATACTTTGTAGGGAAGTCGTATAAATTTGGCGCACTCAATAACTTTTGTAGGGGAGGCGTATAAATTTGGCGTTCTCACTATCATTTGTAGGGAAAGCGCATGACTTTGGCGTGCTCAATATATTTTGTAGGAGAGGCGTATAAATCTGGCGTACTCAATAACTTTTGTAGGGGTAGCGTATAACTTTGGCGTTCTCACTATTTTTTGTAGAGAAGGCGTATAAATTTGGCGTGCTCAATATATTTTGTAGGGGAGGCATAAAAATTTGGCGTACTCAATAACATTTGTTGGGAGGCGTATAAATTTGGCGTTCTAATTATCATTTGTAGAGAAGGCGTATAAATTTGGCGTGCTCAATATATTTTGTAGGGGAGTCGTATAAATTTGGCGCACTCAATAACTTTTGTAGGGGAGGCGTATAAATTTGGCGTTCTCACTATCATTCGTAGGGAAAGCGTATGACTTTGGCGTGCTCAATATATTTTGTAGGATAGGCGTATAAATTTGGCGTTCTCAGTATCTTTTGTAGGGAAAGCGTATGAATTTGGCGTGCTCAATATATTTTGAAGGGGAGGCAAATAAATTTGGCGTACTCAATAACATTTGTAGGGGAGGCGTATAAATTTGGCGTGCTCAATATATTTTGTAGGGGAGGTCGCATAAATTTGGCGTTCTCAATATCTTTTGTCGGGTAGTCGTATAAATTTGGCGTTCCCTCTATCATATGTAGGGGAAGCGTATAAATTTGGCGTCCTCAGTATCTTTTGTAGGGAAAGCGTATGAATTTGGCGTGCTCAATATATTTTGTAGGGGAGGCATATAAATTTGGCGTACTCAATAACATTTGTAGGGGAGGCGTATAAATTTGGCGTTCTCACTATCTTTTGTAGAGAAGGCGTATAAATTTGGCGTGCTCAATATATTTCGTAGGGGAGGCGTATAAATTTGGCGTACTCACTATCTTTTATGGAGAAGGCGTATAAATTTCGCGTGCTCAATATATTTTGTGGGGAGGCGTATAAATTTGGCGTACTCAATAACATTTGTAGATGAGGCGTATAAATTTGGCGTTCTCAGTATCTTCGTATCTTTTGGGAAAAGCGTATAAATTTGGCGTGCTCAATAACTTTTGTAGGGGTGGCATATAAATTTGGCGTACTCAATAACATTTGTAGGGGAGGCGTATAAATTTGGCGTTCTCACTATCTTTTGTAGAGAAGGCGTATAAATTTGGCGTGCTCAATATATTTTGTAGGGGAGGTCACATAAATTTGGCGTTCTAACTCTCTTTTGTAGGGAAGATGTATAAATTTGGCGTACTCAATAACTTTTGTAGGGGAAGCGTCTAAATTTGGCGTTCTCACTATCTTTTGTAGGAAAAGCGTATGAATTTGCCGTGCTCAATATATTTTGTAGGAGAGGCGTATAAATTTGGCGTACTCAATAACATTTGTAGGGGAGGCGTATAACTTTGGCGTTCTCACTATCTTTTGTAGGGAAAGCATATGAATTTGGCGTGCTCAATAACTTTTGTGTGGGTGGCGTATAAATTTGGCGATCTCACTATCTTTTGTAGAGAAGGTGTATAAATTTAGCGTGCTCAATATATTTCTTAGGGGAGGCGTATAAATTTGGCGTTCATTATCTTTTGTAGGGAAAGCGTATGAATTTAGCGTGCTCACTATCTTTTGTAGAGGAGGCGTATAAATTTGTCGTGCTCAATATATTTTGTATGGGAGGTCGCATAAATTTGGCGTTCTCAATATCTTTTGTAGGGTAGGCGTATATATTTGGTATTCTCACAATCATTTGTAGCAGAGGCGTATAAATTTGGCGTACACAATATCTTTTGTAGGGGACGCGTATAAATTTGGCGTTCTCAATATCTTTGTAGGGGAGGCGTATAAATTTGGCGAACTCAATAACTTTTGTAGGGGAAGCGTATAAATTTGGCGTTGTCACTATCTTTTGTAGGGAAAGCGTATGAATTTGCCGTGCTCAATATATTTTGTAGGAGAGGCGTATAAATTTGGTGTGCTCAATAACATTTGTAGGGGAGGCGTATAAATTTGGCGTTCTCACTATCTTTTGTAGAGAAGGCGTATAAATTTGGCGTGCTCAATTTTTTTTGTAGGGGAGGCGTATAAATTTGGCGTACTCAATAACATTTGTGGTGGAGGCGTATAAATTTGGCGTTCTCACTATCTTTTGTAGGGAAAGCGTATGAATTTGGCGTGCTCAATATATTTTGAGGGGAGGCATATATATTTGGCGTACTCAATAACATTTGTAGTGGAGGCGTATATATTTGGCATTCTCACTATCTTTTTTAGAGAAGGCGTATAAATTTGGCGTGCTCAATATATTTCGTAGGGGTGGCGTATAAATTTGGCGTACTCACTATCTTTTATGGAGAAGGCGTATAAATTTGGCGTACTCAATAACATTTGTAGGGGAGGCCTATAAATTTGGCGTTCTCACTATCTTTTGTAGGGAAAGCGTATGAATTTGGCGTGCTCAATATATTTTGTAGGAGAGGCGTATAAATTTCGTTCTCACTATTTTTTGTAGAGATGGCGTATAAATTTGGCGTGCTCAATATCTTTTGTAGGGTAGGCGTATACATTTGGCGTTCTAACTATCATTTGTAGCAGAGGCGTATAAATTTGGCGTACTCAATAACATTTGTAGGGGAGGCGTATAAATTTGGCGTTCTCACTATCTTTTGTAGAGAAGGCGTATAAATTTGGCGTGCTCAATATATTTCGTAGGGGAGGCGTATAAATTTGGCGTACTCACTATCTTTTATGGAGAAGGCGTATAAATTTCGCGTGCTCAATATATTTTGTAGGGGAGGCGTATAAATTTGGCGTACTCAATAACATTTGTAGATGAGGCGTGTAAATTTGGCGTTCTCACTATCTTTTGTAGGAAAAGCGTATAAATTTGGTGTGCTCAATAACTTTTGTAGGGGTGGCATATAAATTGGGGGTACTCAATAACATTTATGGGGGAGGCGTATAAATTTGGCGTTCTCACTATCTTTTGTAGGGAAAGCGTATAAATTTGGCGTGCTCTATAACTTTTGTTGGGGTGGCATATAAATTTGGCGTACTCAATAACATTTGTAGGGGAGGCGTATAAATTTGGTGTTCTCACTATCTTTTGTACAGAAGGCGTATAATTTTGGCGTGCTCAATATATTTTGTAGGGGAGGGCGCATAAATTTGACGTTCTCAATATATTTTGTAGGAGAGTCGTATAAATTTGGCGTACGCAATAACATTTGTAGGGGAGGCGTATAAATTTGGGGTACTCAATAACTTTTGTAGGGGAAGCGTATAAATTTGGCTTTCTCAGTATCTTTTGTAGGGAAAGCGTATGAATTTGGCGTGCTCAATATATTTTGTAGGAAAGGCGTATAAATTTGTCGTACTCAATTACATTTGTAGGGGAAGCGTATAACTTTGG